ATGATGCTAGGTATATCTAGCAACATACCACCAGATGATGCTAGGTGTATCTGGCGACATACCACCAGATGATGCTAGGTGTATCTGGCGACATACCACCAGATGATGCTAGGTGTATCTGGCGACATACCACCAGATGATGCTAGGTATATCTGGCAACATACCACCAGATGATGCTAGGTATATCTAGCAACATACCACCCGATGATGTTAGGTATATCTGGTGACATACCACCAGATGATGCTAGGTATATCTGGTGACATACCACCAGATGATGCTAGGTATATCTAGCAACATACCACCCAATGATGTTAGGTATATCTGGTGACATATCACCCAATGATGGCAAAATGTATTGTTCTTTACAAAAAAAAACTCTAAACATATTTACTTGTTTATCTGCAAGTATTATTTTAAATAGACAGGTTCATTATGAGTTATTCAAATGATTAATTTTATTGACCTATTGTGGTTATAACTAGTTGGTTATTTCAGGTCGGGGCTGTGTGTATTCTTATGATCCTATTGGTCATTGCGAGAGAGTGCAGTATAGAACTGGTGGTTCATCAAGTGCCCTTTTACAACCTCTTCTTGATAATCAGGTTAGTAAACAGATTAAAAATAAAAACTAAATTTTGTTTTATATTAAAACGTTTCTGACAAGCTATAAATTTAAAAGAATTTTCTGTGTTTTCATATTTTAACTTAGAAACGAAATACTTGTATCTGATGTAAGTACATCAGCACATATTAATAACAGCGTAAATTATTTCTATGTTACCTCTATTTATTCTTTAGGAAGATGGGAACATGGCCGGTAATGAACTGTTTATTACTGGTGTTGTTTTAGTTTAAATATTATCTAAAAAATTAATTCTGTTTCATTTCAGTATATTGATCTATACGTTGATCGCGAGGTTTTTAATCACGTAAAAAAGTAATTAAATCACTGTATGTAATTTGTGAAAGTATTACGTTAATGTTCAAGATGAGTTGGAGTGTAGTTGTTGTTAATACTTCAAGAGGTAAAAGATCAACCTGATGATCAAGCTAAGGTAAGCATTAACCTAAACTAGAATACCTTTACTCAATATTACAGATTGGATTCAAGAACATGCAAGATGTAACACCTCTTCCAATTGTTAAAGAAAGAGCAATTGCCATCATCAAAGACGTCTTCATCTCTGCAGCTGAGAGAGACATTTACACTGGTGATGGAATTGTCATGAACATAATAACTAAAGATGGTGTTGTAGAAGAGAGGTTCCCTCTTCGTAAAGATTAATCACTTTTATATTATTGATCAACCTTTGAAGTTTGTGAATGACATACCTGGCTTTTTCTTTTTAAGGATGTAACTCGTAAATAAATTAAATTCATAAGCAACTACGTGCAGATTGTTTAACAACTTTGGAACCATTTCCTATATTGTCAGATCTTTAATTTTAGATGAACAACATCACATGCATTGTTATTTTAAAGAAGAGGAAGGATGAAAAATAAAGGAAATTAATTGATTATGATTCTAAGTAATTAATTGATATAAATAACAGATTGTAAAGCATGTGTAAATCTTACTGCTTCATATAGTTGTCTTAAAACCAAGCAGAAACTCTTAAGTACATCTGTAGAAGATTGCAATAAAACAGCCAAAATAGATCAATATTTAATAAAAGCAATAAATTTAGAATTCTTACAGTGATGTAGTATAAAGTTCAAAGATTTGAGTTTGACACTATCGTGACTTCTGATTCAAGAATTATATATTTTTTATTAAAATAAATAGAAAGCAAAGCAACATTTTTTGTGAAATTTTCAAAATGGCTTACGTATGTTGTTTTTTGTCATTTTTTCTGTTACTTTTTGAAAGAATGACCTAGTCAAATCTTAAGATTAAAAGGGGCTACTGGTAATGACATTCTGTAGCTTCTTCAAATTTATATGCACAGTTTGCAGCTTTATAGTAAAATGGTTTTAATACTGCAGGAGATTTCATCTTTTTTTTTTTTCATTCAAAAGTTCTTTTTGTGAGTAGGTATACCTTACATAATATTTCTCGAAACTAAAGAAGAGAATTTTAAGTTTCGTGAACAAAAATATTATTATGAACATTTTTAATTTCTCTAGATAAAAAAAACATGTGAAAAAATTATTGCAATATAAACTACAACACAAGTTTAGAACTGTTTCTATCTATCTCAAAGGTGTAAAATTCCACTGAAAAAAAAATGTAGCCATAGAATTTACCTGTATTTGTTCTTGTCTGTGGACTATGTACAGAACGTATTTTTGACATTTATTTATTTTCCCAACAAAGATTTATAAACAGCACTTGTCAGTGAATGTTATATAAAAAGAACAATGTTGAGTAATATAAAACAGAAATAAAACCTTTAAAAAGTAAAATAGTTTATCAAACTGAACTTGCAAATGTACGAACTTCGTATATATATATTTCTGTACCACGATCTTTAGATAACGTACCCATCTTTACAACTCAATGAAACTCAAAGTGTATCAGATTGTATATCTTAGTCGAGCTCGGAAGTTTGTTTATAAACAGGGTGGTAATAGATCTGGAAAGTGGGAGAAATTGAAAATAACATGCACAAAGAAACCATGTTACTTTAGTTATGTCAAATATTTCTGTATTTTTACCTTCTCTTTGTGTTATTTTATCTGGTTGTAATTATCAAATGATGCTAACTTATCATATACTCTTTTTATAGATAAAAATACAGCATCTTATATCCCATCATCAGGTTGCATATGGAAAAGATCTGTAAAACTCTGCTGATACAAGCACAAACAAGTCCCTTTTAAACTTTTCAATAAAAGCATAAACTTTAAAGTTTTTAACATCACATGCATTTCTGAAAGCATTTTCTATTTTCTTCAGAAGATTTGCCATATGGAACTAGCTTGGAGTATTATGGTGTAAACAAAATGTCAGTTTTCTGAAGCTCAGTGCAAATGTAAATAAAAAGGATTTATCCTGGCCAGAATGTAATTTTTGTAGTATGGAGCTTACTTGGTCAGCATGGTATATGAAGGGTTGAGCACATTATATTAATTGCTTATCGGCAAGTCATATGACAACCATGGCCAAAATAAAATTGCTGTGGAACAGAATGTATGAGAACTACATTTTGACATTGCATGGACAGTGTGATACCACTAAACATTTTTCACTTTTGGAAAGGGTATCTAACAGCCCTTTCTGATTGTGAAATATTCATACACTCGTATCTTAAAGATGTAATCAGATTGGGGATTTAGAATGTTCGAGACAAGGATATCTCTTGTACAGAATGGCATTAAAACGAGTCGGCTTGGGGCACCAGAACCATCCAAAAAAATAGACCCATAATAAAAGTGCATTAAAAAAAATTACAAGTAACAAATGCTTCAAGGCTAACAGTTTTCATGTAGTTAATCAGATTTTTTTAACATGCTATTGTTTACATGAAATAACCATTCTATGGTTGATGTAATACATTCTTTTTAAAGTGTAAATCCATAAACACAGAGGTCAGTGGATAAATCCATTTGTGTATTTCAGCCAACATTATGCAACATAAATAAGAAAGATCTGTACCTGGAAATGAGGCCAACAGTGTATAGGTTCACAGAAATGAATCTTCCAGTCACACCTCCCATTCAACTATTGCATATTTCAAGCAGAAGATGAATGAAATAGGTATTCATGCTACTTAATTCAAAGACATACCAGGCAAGTTGGTGGATGTAGCCTCTATGGATCTATTTCTGTGCGATCTGACTGTTGAAAAAAGCACTTAGAGACCAACATTTTCTTACACTCAATGAATTATGGAAAGTCCGCAGGGAGGAGTGATGCATTTTGCATATGACACCTCATATTGGAAACTACATTGCAGATCTATTGTCAATATGCAAGGTCATCAGAGAATTACCAGATGTAGAACATGGACTGTAACGACATGGTGACAGGTGTAGCTTCAAAATCGTTTTAATATATGTTGTATTTTCCAGCTCATGGACTTACCTCAGAGGTCAAATAGGGCCAGTGTATCTAATGGATCTAAAAACTGTGTGAAAAAAATGTAAGTTTCTCTTACCACTTCAATGAGATTCCCCTTCTAAGTTAAACTAAAATAAATAAAGTAAAATCCAAACGAAAAATAACCCCAGCAAGTTAAGTTTAGATGAAACAATTAATCCAAAATTCTTAATCTATAAGTAAAGCCAAACAAACACCAATTCCCCCAAAAGTCAGAGTCTGCCAAAATCCAAAATTCCGTTTATGTTCTACTCAAAGTCTAATATGCTTATGTTTAAATCTAAAAAAAAAGTAATAATAAAATTAGAAATCTGCTAAACTTCTAAACATTGATTTGTTTCAGATTTTTATGTCCTAGGAGGGTCAGGTATACTTTCGACCTCTTCCTCCCTAACATTCTACCGCAGAAATCAAATAGTCCAAGGCCAAATCTGGTCTTATCCGATTCGCCGAAAAGAAGAAGAACTGTCCTCCTAACAACAGTACAAGTTATTTTACAAATATGTGCAAACAATAGTCAATATTAAATACACAAGTGAAAGCTGAGTAACTTACTTGAGCGCCTTACTACGTCCAAACTGAGAGGTGAAAAATACAATAATTTTAAAACTTTTACATACTAAATAAGAGGGAGCTAATGCTATATTTCTGCACAATATGTTACATACTCAACCTCTACAGTAAGATATAGTACTTGCCCATTCAAAATGTTTTGAGAAACAGGATCGTTGACCGTTAACGTTTGAATACGATATATTTGTGATAAGAATATTGATTTCTTTTTAATCTGCAACTAAATATGGCGGCTCGTGGAATTGGTGTTTATTTGTGGGCCAAAAGGCGTTCGGTCGCACCCTTTGACTCTCACCTTTTATCGTCAAAATCGATATAATTGCAAACAAAATTTAATTGACTACAGAAACGATAAAATACAATTACTTGCAACTCTTAATACAGTAAATTTCAACTAAATGTGATTTAAATATCAACTAAAGAATAGTTCATGCAAATTTGAATGAAACAGAAAAACATTTAGTAACAAATGTTGCAAAGATATCATCTCTCTCGCGACTAGTCAGTCCCTTTTAACGGTCTACGATTTTAGGATACAATATTTTTTATGTGTTTCGACAACTAGTTTTATTTTAAATTATTACTATATATTTTTTTAATAACCAAATAAAACTTTCTCATTAAATGTTCGCAATTAGTATCAGTATATCAAGGCAAACTAGGACAAAATCAAGCCTAACAATCATTGATTAGATTTTGAATATTTTCTCAAATTTTCCAACGAAGATTTTCAACGTAATTTTAACTGTTTTATTATCAGCAGATGTCGCCACTTGTAGACCTTACTGGGTATGCGTGCTCATAATTTTAGATGGATACTTCTGAAGTAATTAAGAAGTTAAACTCTTATGGTAAGATACTCTTTTATCTGAATATAATTATTTTTATTTCCATCTTATTCGCAGTAACATGTACATGTATGAATTGCTAGTATTTACACGATACCATTACCATAGAATACTTGGACTAGCACTTATACTTCGCCGTAGTACTACTAGTAATAGTATTACAAAATACAATACAATTAGTAATTGCACGTAAACCTACTTAACGTAACTTTTAAGGGTCTAGGGCTCTAGGCTGTACTGTCCCAGGCTAAGCATCCTCAAAATACTTTTAAAACTACTAAAAGTTTAATGGTGGTCATACTGGAAAGGAGGAAATACACAGTCAATTCTAAATACAAAGTAAAAATTTGTGTCATCCGTGTATAATTTTCATTATTAGACTTATAGAATGATAGTTAGTAAAAACGTGGACAAAAGGGATCATTTGGTCCATCAAGGCTTTCTTGCATACCAATTCTTGGGAAAAGTAAAAATTTAAACCCACCCTTTATTTTTCAGACAGTACTTGATTCCCCTCTTAAATTCCAGTAAACTGCTAGCCTTCACTAGTTACTGCTGATGGCAATGCATTCTTTAAGCCAGTCACCATGTTAGAAAAATGATTAATGGTTTTCAAACGAGACCTAAAACTCAAGTGCTTTTGAATAGTTCACTATTCTTCTTAGGAGAAGAATAGTGAACTATTCGAAAGTGCCTGAGTTTTGGGTCTCATTTGAAAATCATTACAACTTTTATATGTGATCCTGTGTGTTAACTTCTTAATCAGTAAAATGATAAAAACTGTCATAACTGGAGTCTAGTTTTTTGGTTTTTTTTAAACTTGAGTCTTATCAGCAGAATACAGCACTAAAACATCAGAGCCCTCTATCCTTTCTTCTCCCAGATAATCTTGTAAAATTCAATAAGATCACCTCTTTCACTTCTTTTCTCAAAAGAAAATAAGTTGAAAGATCTTAACACATCCCTATAAGATAACCCTTCCATCCATAGTCATCTTAGTTGCCCTCACCTGAAATCTTTCCAATAATCTCTCTTAGATAAAGGAACCATAAACTATATTCTAAGTGAGGTCTAATTGTGTCTTATAATCGGTATTTCTTTGAATGCATCCTATAATTAATTTAACTATACTACTAGCAACAGAGTGCTGTTTTGATTACTTGAGTGATTTATCCACAACTATGCCAAGATACTTTTCTTCAAACACACGATTGAGTGGATTCACCAATTATATGTGTGAATCAAACTATGATAACCCAAGTTCATTATTTAATTAAAGGTTATTTGCCAAACATTTTCCCAACTAACCAATTGATCTAAGTCATTCTGTAGTATTCCAACATCATCAATATAGAAATATTCAAGAATTTATTGTCATCTGTAAACTTTATTAATTTACTAATTATGCCTCTACCAATATCATTCATATAAATAAGAAAGAGGCACTGACCCAAGCATTAACTCTTGAGGCACCTTACTAATAACAAGGATACAGTTTGACTGAACTCCAGTAATAACTTTTTCCTCTCTCCCATTGAACTATCATACAATCCAGTTAACTAGTCTTTCCCCAACCCCCACCAATGATATTTTCTTCACTAATCTTTTGTGAGGCACTTTAGCAGAAGCTTTTGAAAGTCAAAGTACACCAAATATATACACCTTTTCCATCATCCAGATAACAAATAATATGCTTTAAAAATGTTTAAAAAATTATTAAGGCAAATTTCCCTTCAGTGAGTCTGTGTTGATTTCCTTTTATGATATTTCATTTGAATAGATGATTTTGTAAAGCTTCTTTTTATTGAATTCTCTAGAATTTTTTCTACAAGAGAAGTAAGACAAATCGGTTTATAATTTCCATTTCTTGTTCTTAAGACTACTTGTTTGAATAAGTAGAGTAATTATTGATTGTTATTACAATGCTGAATTTTTACGTATGCTCAGCCATACACAAAGTTGCTTTATTCAAGCATTAACTGTTTTTGACTAAATTCATGGAAAACCTTTCAAATGTGAAAAAACTTATTATTAATCATTCTACAGAGATATTACATTGTGAATTCATTCTTGCAGTTTTAGACACACAAAAAGAATAAATTAGTGCTGCTTAGATATGTAAAGTAATACTAAATATAACTTCTTGTTTTAAAAAATTATTTTTTGAATGTCTGTTGAGTGTGCATTAATTAAGTTTTATTATAATTATGAAAACTTGCAGTTTCAAAAAGTAGATGTTAGATAGATTTTTTTTACCCCTTAAAGCTGAAAGTTTTCTAGATGAAGAAGGATATCAGAAGTTTTTGAATAAAAGGAAGAAAATTAAGAAAACTGAATCAACTACAACAGTGAATGGTATTACTTCAGAATTGCCTACTCTGTCGAAAAGGAAACGTAAAAAACTGAAGAAGATTCAGAGAAGTTCTGAGTATAAATTGGGAGATACAACAACAACTGACAGTGTTAAAGATGATAGGTTGTCATTAACTGGTGAAGGTAACAGTAAAAACATGATACAAAAAATAAAAGATGAACTAGATTTGGGGAAAATAAAAGATGATGCCAGTTTGTCAATGGTCAGCAGTGGTGAACAAATAACATTAACAAAAAACAGCAAAGACAGAGCAAACCCAGAGGTTGTAGTTTTTCAAAAACATCTCAAAAAGGTGAAAGTGATTCTGTATTATGCAGTTGTTAGAACACTTATTTAAATGCATGTTTCAATTACAGTTTATCAACAAAAATTTCGAGTTAGAATTTTTCTAAATTCAAACTTGATAACTGTCTTTGTTTAGTTTATTGTAATATAATGAAAACAATCTTATTAAACCACCTTAAATTTTTGGAACAATTTTAATTTTACTTCACCATAATGCTCTTTAATTTGAAGCTATGTAAACTTTTTGTCATCTAGGTTTTCTTTGACATGCGTGTTCTTGTAAGTAGGAATATATACATGTGTACATAGTCACATTTCGTAACAAAGCCTGCCCCGTGACTCAGAGATACAGTTTTGAGCAATATTAGTTTCATTAGCTATACTATTTACATGATAGAGAACACCAACCATTAAAGCTGTTTGGTTTTATTAGTGAGTAAGTTGAATATCAATTAACTTTAGTATTACACACATGTAGCCAGCCCAGTGTTGTTTACAACTGTAATTCTCAGCTTGTCATGGTGGGGGGTCTCTTATTTAGTCTAAGTTACTGTTGTCTTGTGCATCTGTTATAACTTTATTGGAGTATCAAAATCATTCCATTACATTACTGGTAATCTGATCTGTTTAGTAATTTTCTGAATGTTTCATGAGATTGTAACAAATATTTGAATGAAAAAAAAATGCATATTATAATCATAATCAACTTTTTTAAAGGAAATATTGCCCATAAATTGTGGCA